CTTCACCTGCAAATTAATAATTATGTAAAAGCATTCTTCATGTTAACCACCTTATCATTGTTTTAGGAATTCTGCCTCAGTGAGTTTCTCATGCATTGAGTTCATGTTCTGTTCCTGTTTGAGCAGATGCATAGCATTCCAATTTCTGAAAAAGTATTTTCTTCACCAGATAGTTAAGCATAAAAATGAATAATATGTCTTTTCATTTGCAGATAGGAAACGTTTAAATCATATTAGGAATTCATTTAGCCATTGAATTCTGTGTGTGAGAGAGGGGGTAGGGGTGGGGGATAGAAATTTTAAAACTAATGGAACTCTCCTGTGTTCACCAGTTGGTACATTTCTCATGACTTTGAATATTGAATTTCTTACTGTACTTACCTCTCTAGCTTTTGAGCTCCTGATGCTTAATAGAGTTATGTTTTCTGTCTCCATATGATACTATTATGGTCAAATATGGTGGGCTTTGAAATAGTAATCATGGAAAGCTATTACTCTGGCCCTTCAATCTTATTCAACAAACATCTAATGAGTATCTTTTACTTTTAAAAAAAACCTTACTGAAGGATTTCCAATGTTTCCACTTTTATTCAGTTTGATTTTAGAAATCCTAGGAACAGCAGTCAGGCAAGAAAAGGAAATCCAATTTTCCAAATTGGAAAAAAGGAAGTCAGAATTTCACTATTTTAGATGACATGTTAATATACATAGAACACTATAGAGTACACACACACACACACACACACACACACACACATACACACACACACCAAGGCTCCTAGAAACAGTAAAACAATACAGCAAATTAGCCAGCTACCGAGTTAACACACAAAAATCTGTCACATTCCTGTATGCAAATAATGAACTAAAGAAAAAGCAATCAAAGGAAGGGTCTACTCCATTCAAAATGATGCCCCAAAACATTAAGTACCTAGGATTCAATTAAAAAAAATATCTGATGTAGCACGCATATTTGTAAGTTACTTAAGAAAGAAAATCCTTTGGAAAGTGGAAAAATATTCCATGTTCATGTATTGAAAGAATTAATGTCATCAATTTAGCCTACTTAAATTTTTCTATAGATACAGCATAATCCCCATCCAAATTCAAATGACATTCGTCAGGGACTTAGAAGAGTCAGTATTAAAGTTTGTGGGGGCTGGACTGTTAGCAGGTAAGGTACTTGCCTTGTACGTGACCAACCCCGCTTTAATCCCTGGTGCCTCCTATGGTCTTCTAAGCTTGGCAGAAGTGAGCCTTGAGCACAGAACCAGGAGTAATCCCTGAGCACTGCTGGGTGTGCCCCCCAATAATAATTACTATGAAGTTTGTATGGAGCCATAAAACACCCTGAATGCTAAAGCCATACTGAGAAATAAGAAACTAGAAGGTGTTTCATTACCTAACTTGAAACTTTTTTCACAAGACTCTTAGGGCATCCATAACTCTTGAAGTTTGGTAATTGTTCTTTATTTACATTTAAAAAATAGCTTTATAAAAATATAATTCACCTATTCAGTATGTACACTCCAGTGGGTTTTAGTATGTTCACAATTAAATTTAGATCATTTCATCACCCAACAAGAAACTTGCCCATTAGTAGTTGCTCCTGTACCACTCTTTCCCTTACGTTCAGTCTCTAATCTCTTGGTTGTCTCTATGGACTTTATTATTATGGAGATTTCACATAAATGCAGTCATTAGTCACAGGGCGTTTTGTGACTTCTTTTACTTAGAATGTTTTCAGAGCGCCTTAATGTTATAACATATATCAGTTATAGAGTTTCATCCTCCCTTTATCAGACACCCTGTTTTTTTTTTTTATTTCTTCTGGGTAATGTTTCATTGTGTGGAATTTTCTCTATTCATTAGTTGGTTGACAGTTGGGTTATTTCCATTTGGGGTCTATTATGCTATGAAATTATACAGCTTTGAAAATTTGTGTAAGAGTTCTTGTATAAATGTGTTTTTATATCTCTTATTTATTAACATGAAGTTGAATTGCTGGGTATAAATCACTCCGTGTTTACTTTGGATGAATGCCCAGACTGTTTTCCAAAGTAGCTTCTTCATTTTACTTCTCAACAGCACTGTACAAGGGTTGCAGTTTCTCCACATTTGGCCAATGCTTGCTATTATCTGTGATTTCGGTGTGCCTTTTATAGTTTCAAACACCAAGAATACTATCAGTTCTCTGCAATAAAATATCTCTGACCTTTGCTAGCAAAAAGCTTACTCCTTAAATACATTTATGTAAGATTAAATGACAGATAAAAATGCATTTTTTCAGTCATTGCTTTCATATTATTTGGATAAATACACAGCAATGGGATGACAGGATAATATAGCAAATCTATTCTTAGTTGTTTTTTTTTTCTTTTTTGCTTTGACCATTACATTTTTATTTAAATGCACTTTAGTTTAAATAACATTATACTGTCACTGTCACTGTCCTCCCGTTGTTCATCGATTTGCTCGAGCGGGCCCAGTAACGTCTCCATTGGAGACTTTGTTGTTACTGTGTCTGGCATATCGAATACGTCACGGGGAGCTTGCCAGGCCCTGCCGTTCGGGCGAGATCCTCTGGGGCTCAAACACTTGTTTATGGGCCACTGGGGGTCACAGACTTGTGGCTCTTGGGATCACAGTTCAGTGTAGTGTTAGGGATGAGAATTGCGAGCCACACCTCCAGGTATGTATGATACATGAAATCTTTTTTCCTCAGTCAGTGGGATGGCCTTTTATTATACTGATCATTTCCTTTACTGTACAGAGCCCTTTTAGTTTAATGTAATATCAGTTTTTTACTTTTGACTAGAAATTATAACTTTAAATATGTTTAACATTTGACCCCCAATATGCACCATAACCACGGGTTCCACTGACCATTGCTACTTCATGCCAAAGTAGTTTATTCAGTAACTTTCCTCCATCCATCCCCACCAAAGGACAGAACCCCTTTTCTGCTACCTCTTGGGATCTCAAGCTACTCACCACATTATAGATTGAACTGTATTGTGTGGGAAAATGAATCTGGAAGTCTAATAAATCTAATCATTTTAACATTTTATAAAGGAAAAATATGGCTTTTACAAAGTGCCAGCTTATAAATTACCATTTTAGAACACAACTCAATTGCAGGTTGATGACTCTGTGTCTTTGAATAAAGGCAAATTAATTAGAGTTATTTAACCTGGTGTCAGAAGCCTTCTGGTAAGCATAACAGTCATCATCATAGTTTGCCATCTTAATGAGAGATTATTCTCTTTAATTATAATTTTAGTGATTCAAATTTTTATTTTAGGGCTAGGGATGTAGCTCAGTGGTGTGCCCTTTATTCAGCCTCTGGCACCAGACACATACACACATACACACAAGTAGGTAAATTTTTAAAATTGTATTACTGTGAGTAGTGATTGGTAAAGTGAGTATTGGGTTTAATTTTGAAAGTATATGTTTATCAAAGGAGAATAAAAAGAAAATTACTGTTTCTCTTGTATTTTATTTGGCTCCCTGTAACAAAGGAAAGAAGTTGACTCAACTCTTTGAAGTCTAATTTTTCATGTTTGAGACCTGCATTCATATTCACAGTTGCTTTTATCATGTTTATTTATCCTCCTCAAATTTAGTTTACCATTAAAATGTCATGGTGCTTGGTGCTGGAGTGATAGTACACCCCATATGGTTTCCTGATCACTGCCAGGAAAGATCCCTGAGCTCAGAGAAGGAGTAATCTCTGAGCACTGGGCTTTGTGGTCCCAAAATAAACTATATATATAGTAGCTCTAGAAGATGGATTCGAATATGGTCAGTGTGAGAAGACTTTTATGTAGATTTTTTAATAGTGATTTTTATGTAGACTTTTATGTAGATTTTTTAATAGTGATTTTTGAATACGTCAGCAAAGCATTACATGTCCTCTTCCCTGAAGAAACCCATGTTTTATTTATTTTAATAATTTTTTGGTGGCTTTTTGGATCACACCCCAGCATTGCTCAGCAATTACTCCTGTCTCTACACTCAGGAATTACTCCTGGCAATGCTCGGGAGACCATATGGGATGCCAGCAATTGAACCCATGTTGGCCAAGTGAAAAGCAAACACTCTACCTGCTATACTATTGTTCTGGTCCTAAAAACTCTATTTTAGAAGTAAGTTAAAGGTTAGGAATAGAAAGTTCTTCATGTCACTTTTATTGATCATCCACATATAGAATAGCAGAGGTATTTCTGTATGAAAGTCCATTCCACTTGCATATTAAATAAAATGGAAAATGCTGTCAGATGTACAGGATGCAGATTTATCCATAACTTCCTCCTTTTTTAATGGGTTATTCTGAATTTTTAAAAATAGGTCTTTGGTAATTTTTAGAAAGAATTTCCTAGGAATACCATGTAGAAAATGTATCAATATTATAGCACACAGTGGGTTTCTGGGCCACACCTGCCTCAGGAGTCTATCAGCTAAAAAAGTGTTAATGGAGAATGCCCTTCAGCCCACACGGCAAAGCCTGGCAGGCTTGCCGTGACGTATTCAATATGCCAAACACAGTAACAATAAGTCTCACAATTTGTTGTGAGATGTTATTGGTGCCCGCTCGAGCAAATCGATGAACAACGGAAGGACCGTGCTACAGTGCTACAGTGCTCTTCCTTTGAAAGATGAGTCGCCCTTTTTTTTGCATCCTGGGTATTATCCTCTTTTTGTTTTGGTTTGGTTTTGAGATACACACAATGGTGCTTAGAGCATTTGCAGTGCTGGAATTCAAACTGAGCTTGACTGCTGGCAAGATACTTACAGCCTTACCCCCGTACTACTATCTTTCCAGTCCCTTTTAGTGTTATCTTTGCAGAGGTTCTTGGCTGGGACTAATGACCAAAGTTTAGCTTTGACCTGAGTATATTCATTCAGCATTCTTTCTGACAGGATGGCTTGAAAGTCTTCCACTTCTTTATGAAATGTCATCTTAGTAACTCATTTTTATGTTGCATTTCTTACAGCTCTGCACACAAGGAGATGCAAGTCAGGTGATTGGGCCTCTTACAGAAGGGCAAAGAAGAAATGTAGCAGTCGTCAATTCACTGTTTAAGTTGCACCAATCAGTGACAAAGGTAGTCTTTGTCTTTATATTAATTGGGTTCTTTTGACTTTATTTTGGGTTCTTCCTACAATTTGTGAATTGCTTAATTTTTTTTAAAAATAGAATATAGTTATCATAAAATACGCCAAGAAATTAACTCTTTAAAGTCTTTGATTCTTACTTTTATTTGTGTACTTTTTGTTTATAGCTTTGTTTTAAAACACATGAACTGGGACTGGAGCGATAGTACAACTGGCAGGGCTTTTTCCTTGTACATAGCCAACCCGGGTTCGATCTCCAACATCCCATATGGTTCCCCATGCACTACCAGGAGTAATTCCTGAGTTCAGAGCCAAGAGTGACCCCTGTGCATTGCCGGGTGTGACCCAGAAAGCAAAAAAATTCAATTAAAACATATGAACTTTAGTTTCTCAAATTTTTTGTTATAACTGAATCTGTTGAACAAGCTATTTAATTTTAAACCTATTTAAAAACCTAATTTGATATCACTGTGGGTGGTAGTAAATTTTAGCAAAGCTAATGACAAAATAAGAATTTTTAAGCCTCCTACCTTGTCAAAAAGATGGTAGGTAGCTGTGCTCTGAAAAGTTAGGGGGAACTCTGTTATGGTGAATTTTTTGTTATTGTTTTGTTTCTGGGCCATACCCTACATTGCTTCAGTCTTATTCTTAGCTTTGCAGTCAGAGGTTTGGGGAACCCATAGGGATGTGAGGGACTGAACCCGGGACAGCTGTTTGCAAGGCACGTACTCTATATGCTGTACTATCTCTTGAGACCCTGAAAACAGTGAATTCTTATGATAAAATAACTGATGACTACTTTCATGTATTATATATTATTTTTTAACATGTTCTACTGATGCATTTTTAAAATATGGCTAAATATTTGCCTTCCTAGATTCTACCTGTGATGATCTATATTCATAATTACTAGGGCAGCAAAGTTTGTACCTCGTCTTTGACTGTTGACTCATTTTTGTTTACTTGAAGTCATTTTCAAAATAGTAAGTAGTAAGATAAAATTCAGAAGAATTAAAAGAAACTAAAGGTTTGGTGACATTCTAAAAACCTTTCCTTCTACTAAGAGCTTTAAGCTATTAAAGTGAATTCTCGAGTAATTATAAGTGACTATTACTTATTTCCTTAAAATTTCTTTTTTATTTATAATATTTATCAGTTCTTTAACCAACAGATTTCCAAAGGCAGGTACTTCATATCTTAGACAATATATATATGTATATATACATATATATATATATATATATTTTTTTTTTTTTTTGCTTTTTGGGCCATACCTGGCAATGTACAGGGGTTACTCTTGGTGCTCAGGGGACCATATGGGATGCTGGGAATTTAACCCGGGTCGGCCACGTGCAAATGCCCTACCCGCTGTGCTGTTGCTCTAGCCCCCGACAAAATATATTTTAAAGGTTTATTAGCAGTTAAATTTCAGAGGATTATATAACAAACAAAAGTAAATCAATAAGGGCCAGAAAAATAGTACTGTGGGAAGCATATATGCCTTGCACATGACCGACCCGGGTTTCATCCTTGGCATCCCATTTGGTTCCCTGAGCATTGCCAGGAATAATTCCTGAGTGCAGAGCCAGGAGGAACCCCTGAGCTCCACCAGTGTGTCCACTGCCCTGCCCCCCAACCCCCCAGAAAAAAAGTTAGATCAATAAAATGAATTATATATTTAAATTTTATTTTATTGCTCTAAAGCACAAAAACAATGAAAGAGTATATAGTTCACCCTGATTGCAGTGTCTTTACTGGTACTTTCAGAATTTTCATGATGTTCATACTGATTTGTAAAACTGTGCTAAGGGAAATGATTTATATTTGTATCTTAAGAGAAAATTTGGTCAGCCTAAATAAAAGTGAATGTTTGTTATTTCTATTTAGAAGGAATAAATAAATAATACAATTTTAGACTAACCTTTTAAATTAAGAATTTAAAATTCTTTCTGCCTTGATTATTTAAAGTTTTCTAGCTTAACTATGAAGCTATTTTTTAACATACATTAAATACTTATGATATTTTTGAAGCATGTAATGTCAGTTTATATGTGGAATATGCAATCGGCTTTTTTGTATTAGGATTGAAATTAGTAGTTGTAAAAATAAATGACTTATGTCAAACTCTAACTGGGTCAAAATCTTGTTCTAGGTGATTTCCAGTCAGAGCTCCTTTCCACCAGCAGCTGAGCAGACTATAATTTCAGCCCTGAAGGTAAAAAAATAAAATTAATTTTTGGCTCTACAGATGAACTGGATTTTAAAAATAATTTGTTTGACTGAGTGGGAGATGTCATGTTTTTAAAATAATTTAAAATCCTCGAGGTATACTAAAAGTAGCATGTTGGTAATTAGCCCGAAGAGAGAGCACACATGTGTGTTTATGGTTTCTAGAATTTAAAAATAGACCCTGTTGGTGTCTACAGATTGTGTTCCACAGAACGTGGTGAGTACACAGAAACAGGAGCCTCTGTCACAGGGCTCAATGGCCTTGTGTTTTTACCAGCAAAGCAGCTTTTCTCCTCGAGACTGATTTTGCCCCCCTGGGGATGTTTAACAGCACCTGCTTTTTACTGTCATGAAAAGGAGCAGATGCTACTGGTGCTAAAGTTTTGCTGTTAAAAATCAGTTTTGTGTAGGCCAGAACCCCACAGTAAAGAATTATCAGACCCCAAATACTGAAAATGCCAAAGTTGCTAAGCTTTCATAATGGTGTAGAAGCCCTGTACTGTGAAACTAGAAATATTTCCAGTTTCTGTATAGTAGTAAATAATGGGCACTTTTTAATACTAAGAAAGTGTGATAAAAATATAATGGTATGAGATTCAGGCCAAAAGGAGAGTATAGCACGTAGGGAGTTAGTTTGACCAGCATGTGTCTAACCTGAATTTGATCCCAGATTCCCTATCAGTCCTGGGTGCCACCAGGAGAGATCCCTCAATGCAGAACTCAGAGTAAGTCCTGAACAGCCAAAAACAAAACCAATAAACAAAATACCTATTTTCTTTAATTTAAAAATCTAATATCAGAGCCATATGTAGTTGATAGCATGTAACTAAAAAACAAGCAAATTATTTATTCTTAATAGAAGAGATAGGATTTATTTCACATCTGATGCTTACCAGTGATATACAATATCAAATAAGGACTGGTTGTAATCTAGTTCCAGTTTTTCCTTATTTTCCAGCACTGCCTATCAGATATTTCTAATCCCCTTTCACAGTAAGAAATACCAGTTAGGGACAGGGAGGTAGGATGCTGGGGAGATCATGTGCCTGGGTTCCATCCCCAGCACCATTTGAAAAGCAGAAAAGAAAAGAAAATACACTTTACTTTGTAATTCCCTACATAATATGTGAACTTTTAAAATTATATACAAGGGTTTTTTCCTTTCTGATTTTTATGCCTATATTTTTGGTGATTTGTTTTGTTGACAGTGTTGAATACAGTCGGATACAACTGATGAGAGTGGACCTTTGTGTCTTGTTCCAGTTAGGGAGAAATGTGCAGGAATTTATTATTTTAAGTGTGAGGTTAGTTAGAGATTTTTCTTAGGTGGTCTGCACAGTGGGTAGGGCATTTGCCTTGCATGCGGCCAGCATGGCTGACCCGAGTTCAATTCCTCCGACCCTCTCGGAGAGCCCGGCAAGTTACCGAGACTATCTTGCCCGCACAGCAAAGCCTGGCAAGCTACCTGTGACGTATTCAATATGCCAAACACAGTAACAAGTCTCACAATGTTACTGGGCCTGCTCAAGCAAATCAGTGAACAACGGGAGGACAGTGACAGGTCTGTCTGTCTTTATTTATTTACTTATTTATTTATTTATTTTTAATCACAGTGAGATACACAGTTACAAGTATGTTCATGATTTGGTTTCAGTTAAACAACGTTCCAACCCCCATCCCTTCACCAGTATACATTTCCCACCACCACATGCCCAGTTTCCCTCCTGACAACCCCTTCCTACACCCCCATCTACCTCTGTGGAAAGCATTTTTTTTTCTCTCTCCCTCTCTCCCTTCTCTCTTTCCCGAAAGAAAAGAGCATTATGGTTTGCAATACAGATACTGAAAAGTTATCATGTGTATCCCTTTACCCATTTTTCACTCTAAGTTCTTGTGCAGAGTGATCATTTTTAACCATTATTGTCATACTGGTGCCTTCTCTATCCTAACTGCTCTCTGCCCCATATACACTTATGGCAAGCTTTCATTAGATGGTCCTTCAAAACCTGTGTTAAGTCATGCAAATTCATTAACTGACTAATTGTTTCGATGGCCCTGCTCCCCTTTCTGCCTAGGTAACAGGTGGGTTTGGGTAGATGCCAAATTCTGCTCTATTGTGGTCAGTTTTATGATTTTTGACCTGTTCATCTCTGCCCAGATCCCAGAACCAGCTGCTCCTGCCTCCGGTAACTTCCCTGGTTACCTACTCATATTTCTAATTTTCCTGTCACTGCAACAACACATCAAGATATAGAGCATTTCTTAATCCCAACCAATCCTGGTTGGATCCCTGGCATCACATGGCTCCCAGGCATCTCTGGGTATATGACCCTGGAGGGCCCTGAACACTGCTGATGGGGGGAGGGGGAGTTGGTCATCCCCAGAACTGCAGGGGCTGAGCATCCCCAAGTCTGGGGGTATTTGTATTTAATGCCCATCCAGGTTGGCTGAGAATTTCCAGGAAGGCCCCCTTTAAAAAAGTTGTAATTTTCTAAGTACTTGAATATGGGTATATTGTGCTTTTTAAAAATCTTAATTTAGTTTGAAGTGATTTGTGATTTCTACGTTGACACATTGGCTGTTTAGAAATAGGGCTCAGGCCAGGGATCACTCCTGGCTGTGTTAGGGAGACCATGTCCAGTTCTGTGGTCCTCCATTGGCTGTGTACATGTCAGGCGAGCACCTTATCCCCTGTACATCTCTCCAGCCCCTCTTCTGCTTGTCTGGAAAATAGCTTTTAGCCTTTACATTTCTAGTCATCCTCTGGCCTCTTAAGGGCTCTTTGGGCTTTAATCATCTTTGGAAAGTCAAATACTACCAAATCTAGTTAAAACGTGCCGATGCAATCCAAAGACACTCAAACATTAGATTGCTAAAGGGGGTTGGGGTGGTCTGTGGATGGGAGAGATGGCTAAGTGGGGATCTGGTGAGGAAGGGCCTGTGGGTGATGGTGGAGAGATTGGTGTAGCACTGTGGCAACTCTAAAACACCAACTTTGATACTGTTGTAAATAGTGATCCCTCAGCATTTGTAAATAAGCATGTCATATTAAAAACATCATTTTCAGGTGTCTCATGTAATGAAAAATAAATTGTTTTCCCCAAATGGTGTATTGCATTTTTTACTCAAGAATTGCTTTGCCTAAATAGAAACTTGGGATTTAAAGTTACTTCTCTATGAAGCTCTTCAGGGGTCCTGCCTCTGAAGGCACACATCATTTCATTGGTGGCATTTTTATGTAGACCTCCATAGTAAATTCAAACTGAGTGTTCAAAATGTTACCCCTCTCTGAGGCTATGGCTACTTGTATGGGTTGATGGGCCACTTGGCCAAGCTCTCCTGTGACTGATATACACTAGTTGAGGGGGTTATTATGTTTATACTGACTTGTTAATAGATAAAATGGTCAAACAAAAGCAGATTTAAAGAATGCATAACCTACTCAATAACCCTATGTAGATTTCCCATTGACCCTTCACATTCATGTCTAAAACTGAACTTATTTTCTCTTTCTAGCCCCAGACCAGCCTAATGCTTCTGCATAAGCTATTCAGTTAATAAAGTCACCAAATTATCAAATAAAAATATAATTTTACTATTACTATCTTTCTACTCTAATCATCTCAGATCCAATTACCAAGTCAAGCCAATAGACGGTTAAAAGCCTCTAACCTGTCTGTTTCTGATTCTTGCTGGGTCCAGACCTTCACTGTTTTGAATCTGTGCTATTATGCTGCTCTTCTGGATTTATTCTTAGTTTATCCAGTCTGATTTTTGATTTTTTGGTTTTGATTTTTCCTAAATTCAAGTCTTTAATTTTTTTATTTTTTGTTTCCTAGTTTCTTTGGGAAATTTCCAACTCCTTAGCAGCCTACACAGAGTACATCTGTTGCCTCTCTTGCTTTGCATAATATGCAGGTACCTCACTCTGGAGTCAGTGCTTTGCAGTTCTGCCAAAATACATCAGCTTTCCTAGGCCCCGGTGCCTTTAACAGATGCCTTTCCAAGCCCTTCCCTCTCTCCTCTCTCTCTCTATGTCTCTCTCTTTGTCTCTCTGTCTCTCTGTTTCTCTGTGTCTCTGTCTCTGTCTCTCCCTTGTTCTCTTGCTTGCTCTCGCTCTCTCTCCCTCTCTCCCTATCTTCCTTCTCTATCTTCCTAAATGGTATGGAGTTATGAGATTTAACAGCTGGAGATGACATTTGGGAATTTAATGAATGGAGCTCCTTAACCCTTTCTCATTGCTTTCAGTTGCTTAAACAGGCCAAGCCTTTCCTCCTCACTATATGTCATCGTCATTGAGACATACAAAGTGTATTTAGATTTTAGGTTTTCAGTGTCTACTGAAGCCCATCAATATTTTCACATTAAAAAACCCGCAACGAAGGCCTAAAATCTGATATGACCTAACCAGTAATCTTACTCCACTGTGGAACAGTTTCTTAACATTAACAGCACTGGGGCATCTTTGTTGTAGGGGAATGTGCTGTCACGTCTATCCTCTACCGCTGCTACAGATCCCCTCCCCTACCTCCATCCTGTTAATTGAAGCAGATTGGCCCTGGTTGAGAGTCACGGTTGTAAGCTCTAAATGGAAGCCTGATTGATAGAGTGCCTAACTTTCCAGTACTATAGGAATCACCAGGATATTTTTTATATTCAATCTAGCTTAAAAGCATATGATACTCTAATTTGTACAGACTTTTTTGTTTGTTTGTTTTTGGGCCACATCCAGTGGTACTCAGGGCTTATTCTTTGCTCCACAGTCAGTGATCACTTCAGGTGTGCTAGGGGAATCATATTGAGTGTCCGGGATCAAACCCATGTCATGCTGTGTGCACGGCAAACACCCTGCCTGCTATACTGTTGCTCCGGTCCCTACAGACTTGCTTTTTGTTCTTGCCTACTTCATTTATTTGATCTATATTTCATAAGTGATGCGCCTCTCATCTTCTTTTCCAAGGGACCATGACAAAAATGTTTTGATATATGAAAGGACTCGGAGAGTTGCAGTTTTTGAGTGCCTCTGCACCACATTTTAGTATTTGCAATTCATTACTGACAGTAGTTAAAGCTGACTGCTATTGAGTTATGGCTAAACTCTCTCCACTTAATTGCGTAAGAAAACTATTAGTTAAAATGCTTGGCACATATCTGGTTTCTTTTTGTTAGTCTTTGATTTGGCCTCTACTTCTTTTTTTTTCTTTTCAGACAATACATGTTCTTATGGGGAATGCGGTGCAGCCCTTACTAACTTCGGTGGGAGATGCTATTGAGGCCATAATCATCACCATGCATCAAGAAGACTTTTCAGGGTAATAACTTACAATCAAAATTTTCCTTACCTCGTATTAAATTTGCTTTCCATCCCTACCTCCCTGCGTCTCCTGTCACCTAGGGTCTTTTTTCTCTTGTCTCAGAGATGACCTCCACTGTTATCCTGCTTAATCCACTGTGAGTGCCATTAGTGAATTAAAAAATTTTCCAACCTTGCTTTTATTTCTATCTTGTCATTGAAACATCGAATCCATTAGAGATTATGAGATTTGCCTTGACACTTTAGGAAATTTAGTAGCTTGTATGTCTCCCCTTTCTAATCTGATCTTTTCCTTCACTTCTCATAAATACTCTCTATGCAGTCTCTAGCCGGGCACAGTTTCTATGTAAAGTAGCTGTGTATTGAATTCTATTAAATTGAGCACAAGGGGTCAGAGAGGTAGTCCAGTGACTAAGATGCTTGCCTGTCATGCAGCCAACCCTGGATTGATCCCCAGTACCACATCTGGTCCCCTGAGCACCCTCAGGAGTGCTCTCTGAGCAAAAAGCCAGGAATAAGCCCTAACAACTGCCAGATACGGCCCCAGAACCAAATTAAGAAAGCAAAATGGTTTTGGTTCAATGTATTAGAAAACCATTTATGGGGAAATTAGAATAAGTGTTTACATAGACATACAGTGATGTAAAAGATAAAAATGGGGCGGAGATATAGGTAAAGCACTTTACAATGGTAAAGTGCTTGATTTGCATGACCCTGTTTTGACCCCCAACACTTCATTTCCCCAAGTACTACCATGAGTGATCCTAAGCACAGAGCCAGGAGGAAGCCCTGAGCACTGCTGGGCGTGCCCTCAAAACCCAAATAAATAAATCTGAAATGTGGCACCAGGATGATAGATCAACACTTACAGGAAAGCTGGTTCAGTCCTGACCACCACACAGTTCCCTGTGTACCTTGCTAAGACTTAGCCCTAAGCACAACTAACCAGTGGTCCTAAAATAGCAACAAGAACATAACTATGATCTTGAGCCAAACATTTAGATATTAACATGGAGCTATATAGTTTATGTTCCTATTTCAGAGTTAGTTGTAGGTGGATTGTTAATTATGAATAGCCCTTCTTTTTATATTCATGCTGTTGAAGAGCACTTCTACTTTAATTTTCTAGCCACTGGGGGTGGGGGGGAGGAAATTATGTGATTATATAACAAACCTTTCCTTTTTAAAAAGTTTTCATTTTATTTACAAGATAAAATTTTTCTCAAATAAGATGCATTTATTTACTGTTTTTGTCTTAAAGAATAGCTTTTCAGTGTGGGGGGAAGTCAGTGTATTATTTATAATGATATGAAACACAGAAGAATTTTATAGGAAAGTATGTTACATACTTTTTGGAGATAGAACTGTAAGATATTTTGTTACCAGTGTATGGAAGGAGATGAATCTTTTTTTTTTTTAAAAAAAAAAGGTGTGGGGGACCACTATGACACTGATAATTGGAAATGATCACTCTGGATAAGAACTGTGTGCTGAAATTGGTAAAGGAACAGACATGATAACCTCTCAGTATCTGTATTGCAGACCCCAATGGTGGGGGGCGGGGGGAGAGAGAGAGAGAGAGAGAGAGAGAGAGAGAGAGAGAGAGAGAGAGAGAGAGAGAGAGAGAAAGAGAAAGAGCCTCTATGGCAGGCTGGGATGGGGTGGTAGAAGGGAAACTAGGGACATTGGTGGTGGGAAATGTGTACTGGTATAGAGTGATGTGTGTTGGAATATTGTATGACTGAAACCCAACCTTGAACAGCTCTGTAACTGTGTATCTCACAGTGATTCAATTTAAAAAAATAAGTAAAATATAGATTTAAAAAAAAAAGAAATTAGAGAATTAAAATGTCCCAGTTAGCCCAACTGCGGTCATTTATGTTGGTTCAGTTGTTCGGAGAGGTCTGTTAGTATTCTATTCAGTCACAGCTAATGCCCATGAGGTGAGACACGGTTGATATTGAAGTCAGGCCTCTCCCCTCCCCTGCTTCCAGCTTGCTGTTTATTTACTATTTTAAGTACGAGTTAACCAGATTGGTTATTTTAACAGTAGATTTCTACAAGCTTAAAAATTTTCAGCTCGTGACACTCTTCAATTTTGTGCCCAAATAGTCTTTGATCGCTTTGCTTCAGCTCTGTGCATACACAACAGCCATTTGAGAGTCCGCTGAAAGCCTGTCGCCAGGAGGCTGTGTCAGTAGGAAGGACGCACTATTGCTGCATAGTGCTGTCACACACCTGTCATTTCCCCACCTTCTAGGACCTAGATTTTAGGAATTCTTTCATGCCCTCTCATGTTAGTATGGCTTTTATAAGAATTAAAATAATAATAGTAATATGGTGAAGTTGAATTAAGCTGTGTAAAAAGTAGAAATCCCTTTTTGGTAAGAATTGTCTTCTTCCCCCCCCCCACCCCCCCACCCCCAGGGAAAAGTAATAGTGAAACCTGCCTTTCCATGCCCATGCTTTTCCAATGATTTGGAAACACCTTATGATAGTCTACTTATACTATATATTTAAGTAGCATGTCCTGCTATTGAAAAAAACGCTAAACACTTCTTAGGGATTTTAAAATATTCAATATTTATATATGGGCTGGAGCGATAGCACAGCGGTAGGGCGTTCGCCTTACAAGCGGCCAACATGGCCGACCCGAGTTCGATTCCTCCGCCCCTCTTGGAGAGCCCAGCAAGCTACCGAGAGTATTCGATATGCCAAACACAGTAACAACAAAGTCTCCAATGGAGATGTTACTGGGCCCGCTCGAGCAAATAATGTATATCACAATATGTATGCTCCATGTACACATTGTTATAAATCAATATCTGTGTATATACATATCTGTAAAGAATACATTTCAATTTTTAGTTTTAGAATATAAGTTCTACCAGTCGAAACTGGATTTTGCCTGTTTGTGTTGTGGTAACATGGATTACAACAGCTCCCATATTATTGTTTTATCCTTGCAATGCTACCTCACCATTCCCGGGCAATCAGTGACAGTCCACCTCATTTCTAAGTCCCTTCTCCCCACAGTTGAGTTTTTTTTTTTTTTAGAGGGGCAAGAATTGAATCTTTTTACTCAAGATGAAAAGGAAAATTACACAGTAAGTTAAAAGACAGAATGGGCAATTCAGATTCCCTGAGGGCAGTTCAGGGAAACAATAATTTCACACCAAATCTAACTTTCAGATGTTAAATGGACTCCAGATGCTTTTAGTTGGACTGGTATGTTTCTCTTGAAGTCAGAGCTAAATAAATATAAATGGGGCAGTCCCAGGTTCAATCCTTTGGTGTATATGTATGTGTAAATAACTGATGGACATGATATGCTAAATGACTTTTTCTGTTGGTTTGTTGATTTGTTTTTTTGGGCCATGCCTGGCAATGCTCAGGGGTTACTTCTTGCTCTGCACTCAGGAATCACTCCTAGTGGTGCTCAGGGGATCATATAGGATGTTGGGGATCAAACCTGGTCTGCCACATGCAAGGCTGGTGCCTTACCCATTGTACTATTGCTCCAATTCTTGTCTTTTTTATGTAATATAAAATCACTTGTGTCCACTTCTAGTTTTGAATGAGGGGGATGGGGGCAGAAGGAAGTAAAAGTAGGGAGACCCTTTGATCTCAAAACTGATTAGTTTGCACTTCTTGGGAGCACAGGGAACACAAACACAGCCAAGAGTGCTGTTGAGAAAGTAAACATCTGCCCCCTCAGGGGTATGTGTATTTAATTCTGTTTTCATTTCCTTTATGCACACGCTCATTATAAAGACTCTTGGGCTGGGAGGAGTAGACTAGAGTGAGTTGCATATGAGAACTCCAGGTTCTATTCATGACATCACATGGTATTTGGGTATTTGCCCCACCCCACCCCCCCCACACACACCCACACCCCTGGCATTGTCAGGTGTAGTCCCTCCCTCAGGAAAAAAAAAACTCTTGAATTTCTGTGCAACTTATGATTGCATTTTATCAGTTGAGAGCTTCTTACTAAAAGCTTTGGCATTAACTGGGGAACCCGAGCTTTAGCCTTTATCTATCTAGTAAATGCTGGTACGGTCTAACATGCATTTAGGTCACCACAGTCATAAAGGCACTGTGGCACTGTCCTCCCGTTGTTCAAGCGGGCACTAGTAATGTCTCCATTGTGAGACTCATTGTTACTGGCATATCGAATACTTCACAGGTAGCTTGCCAGGCTTTGCCATGTGGACGAGATGCTCTTGGTAACTTGCCGGGCTCTCCGAGAGGGGCGGAGGAATCGCAGAAGAATCGCAGAAGAATCACAGAGGAATCGCAGAGGAATCGTGGAGGAATCGAACCCGGCACTGCTGGCCGGCCGGGCGCAAGGCATACGCCCTTTTGCTGTGCTATTGCTCCAGCATAGTCTAGTAAATTTCAATCAAGCCTTTCTAGTTTGCGCTTAGAATTGATAATTATTGTCTTTCAAAATTTTGTCCTAATAGGTCATTTTATTTTATATATATTTATATATATATATATATATATATATTTGTTTCTAATCCTCCAGGAAATCATTTCAACCAAAGAGATTAAAATTCTTGAAACAATTCTCCCTATTAGCACCAAGATAAAAGTCGTGCTTTTGATTAAACATTAAAGGATATGTTAGATGCCTATTTGAGAAAGGGGCGAAGGGCAACCTAGCCTTTATTTTTGTAAAATATGAATAAAGCTAGGTTAAGCGTTGCACTGTCTGGCAGACCAGAGTCCTCCTGTTGAGAGGCTTCACTTCTTAAGACTGTCCCTGTTTGCTGTACCAAGCAGCATTCTCTGTGATTCCTGACATAGCAGCATCTTCCATGCTACCTTAACAGCTTTGCCACAGTCAGGACAGTCTTTCTCACGGCTGAACAAAATCTCTTCTTGCTGAAACATTAGCCTACTTTCTCTATTTCTGTCAAATTCTATAAATGGAAGACCTCTGGAAAACATCCTACATATAATAATCATTGCTGTATTTGAAAATAATTAAGTTCACCTCATTCTCTTGCTGTAGACAGTTTTTGAGTCATGTCTGTTGTTCTCTAGACCACTGCCAGTTTCTCTACGTCATTCTCAAAATATGGAGATGCTGCTTTTTTTTTTTCTAAGAGACTGAGCATTATGTAGCCAGTGATCTCATTGGTTTGCTAATTCATATCAGGTGATTTCCAATTCTGGTATAGCTCTTCTTTTCTATAAATATTTCACATTCTTGTAATACTCTTTAAAAAGCAATTGTAAACATTTATAAATTATAAATAGTATTTCATGGAGCATCATCTGGCATCATTTGTTGATCCAAATTAAAGCCTTTCCAAACCTCATCATCTGGAGAAAACAATTGCATACCATGTGTATAGTTATATAACCACTTCCACAGTCAGAATTCTTCTGTTAAATAGCACAAGAGTAGAGAGATCTCTGCCAAGAATTTGTTGAGAAGGCAGCTCTTTTTTTTTTTTTGGCCATTGCAAACTATAATGTGCTATTTCAGGATCCATTATTAATTTATTCACTAACCGTATAAGTGGATGAAGAATTATAATAATGAGAGGCCTTGTGAGGTCAGAGTTCACATAAGGCCCTTCTGTGAACCATGCAAGATGGGTAGTTGTTTCATTCTTAATAATCTTTAGGTGAACGAATTTTAAGATTTCTTTATAGCCTTTCTTGCACACTAAATCAGGATATAATTAAAATGTTGCTTTCTGCTCTTGAATGCTTTGGAAAAAATGAAAGGTGCCTTTTCTGCCATTAAGGGTAAAAATTGCTTTGGACTGAACTAATAGACGATGGGGTGGTGAACAAATCTACTACATGTCTTAAGTGTCTCAGCTGTTGACCTTTTAATTTCCCTTTGCAGGTCTGCATCCAGCTTAGGAAAGCCTGATATTCCTTGTTCTCTGTACATGAAGGAGCTTCAAGGTTTCATTGCCAGAGTTATGAGTGATTACTTTAAGCACTTTGAATGCTCAGATTTTGTCTTTGACAACACGGAAGCTATTGCCCAAAGAGCAATTGAACTTTTTATCCGCCATGCCAGTCTCATAAGGCCTCTTGGTGAAAACGGAAAAATGCGACTTGCTGCTGATTTTGCACAGGTAAATTGGAAGCATAGCTACCTAGGGGAAAATGTTTCAGCCTCAGTATTATTGTTAAATAAATGGTGTATAGTATTCCAAAGAGTTGAAGTATAAAGAAAAATAAATGTGTAAAATTAATTGGTTAAAAAGAAGAAAGTTTAGAAATACTCTTATGCCAGAATTATTTATCTTTGTATTTAACAAAGAATCATCACCCATCTTTGGTATATTAAGGTTAAAGTGAAGTAGCTCATTCTACGGTAAAGCACCAGTACCAATTCATATATAACAAGGGAGTTTCTTACTATTTTACTGTCCCACCAAGTTAGCACTTATAAACGTAATTGAGTAAAACCTTTACCACAAAATACTGTAGGCATTGTAGTTTATCCTTCAAACAGTGAAAAGGGGCTTATCTGTCATGTACAAAGAAAGAAATTCTGGGACTGGAGAGAGTCCAACAGGTAAGGTGCTTGCTTTATTTGAGATTGATTCCAAGCACCCTGTATGGTCCCCCAAGCTCTGCCAGGTGTGATCCCAGAGCACAGAGTCAGGAGTAAGCCCTGAACATATTGTGGCCCAAGAAAGAAAGAAAGGAAGGAAGGGAAGGAGGGAGGGAAAGAAAGCAAGCCCATATATCTGTGGTGTCTCAGTGGTGTACTCAACATTCCAAGGCAGTATTCTACTTCATTTAGATGCAGAGCAGATCAGGTATCTATAAAATCTGATTATTTGGCCTCCCTTCATTAAATAAAATTAAAGTGAGTACCCATCTTGTATATGACTAGACTTAAAATCCTTTCCTTCTCTCTGATGTTAGTGAAGGGAAGGGACATTTAAATAGTAGATCTAGTGTCAGCTATTTTTTTTTGTCCTTTTGACAAAATTTTAAAGCCTTTCGATGGTATCAGAGGCAAAAAAGTAGCACCTCAGACATACACTTTTATTAAAAGATTCGTGAACAGATGATTTGTATTTAGATAGCTTTGCCAAAGGAGAACTTATTTTTTTAAGACATTCAAAGCTGTTAGCTTTAGTAGTCTAAATAGTTATTCAGATGGATTTTTTTTCTTAGTGGTTTGCCAGATCCTCTCTTCTTATAAAGATAGACAAATTTTAATGTCCCCGCTTACTACTGTGGGTGTATCTGGGGCCAAGTCTTGTTTTGTTTTTCCTACACTAAGGAAAGGGTGTGGTGGACCCATCCTGCCTTCTTCTTCATTAAACCTAAGAGAAGGTACAGAGCAGAACAGTAGAACTTAATCAGGTTTCAAGAACCAGGCGCTGGGCTCATTAACTGGTCTAGAATTAGTTGTTTTCATTCCCAAACAATATACCTGAGACAACTAACTTATAGTAGAGAGCTTTCCTTGGGGAAATTGGCCTTTAGTGGCCTTAGCATGAAAATAGAAATCAAGTGTTACCTTTAATGTGACTCTTTTTACCAGCCCCATCTTTATTGACTTCAATCTCAGTAAGCACTGTACACGCTTAATTTGTGTAGATAGTCAGTGTAGAGATAATCGGGTCCATTGTCTTTACTGTTCCTTCCCGGTGTCACAGGCTGCCTAATGACAGCAAAAAGGAAGCAATGATGAACAAGACCTGCTTTGATTTGTTAAACAAAAATGAAACAAGAACAGAAGGACACATTGCAAACTCTGCTTAGATGGGTCTCTGCCCTTCTTTTTTTCCCTTCCTTCCCTCATTTTGTTTTTCTTTTCCTGGTCTCTTCTCTGCCTGTCTCCCTCCCCCACTAGTTTATTTGCATTCTGCTCCAGCTGGTTCTTGAGTCACTTTCCTGGAGGCAGCACTTCAAGTCCAATTAGAGTGGCAGCCGTGCAGGAGTTGGCCAGAATGAGATTGCTGGGGATGGGGTGGGGTGTTACTTATCTTTTTAAAATTAAAAAAAAAAATTCTGGTCTGTTCCCTTATAACTCCTATGATGGAAAGCACGGTCCCTTACCCCTTCCTTCTGCAGCTGTATCTGCTCCAAATGCCTAGCAGCCAGCAAGCAACAGGGTTGAGCTCTTTTACTTGGCTCATCTTCCTTGGAGACATTGCCCAAGAAATAAGTCAAACCTTTCTAGTGTCGCTTAGCGTAAGTGAAAATCATCAGTCGTTATTACTAACTTCTGCTCCTGGCATCATCTTTTTTCCACTTAGGAAGTATAGGAAAGGCATTCCCACAGCCAGCATTCACTCAGCAATGAAACACGTGTATTTCCCAGCCCTTCAGTAGCGTTGGTTCTGCAGTATGTGTGTATGGTGTGGATTCCTTCCTGCACTCCTTCAGACCATCCCACCATTCACCCTCGGGAAGTTTCCTCCATCCTTTGTTTGGCCCAGGAAAGACAGGTGGAAGTACTTGGGATGAGGAGCTGTGGAAAACATCATTCAGTTGTTACCCCTCTCACCTTCCCATATTTAAAGCAAATCAAAGTGAATTGTGGGGATTTTATTCCACCTGATTTTGTTTCTTGCCACACGGCAGTTAAGTATTATTGCATCTCGGCTTTCAGAGCCATCCTGGGGTCAGTCAAAACACTTAAATAGCATTACCCTGACATTTGTATTCATGACAGGCATCAGCTGGGGACTAGAAAGCCTTGACTTATTATTGAAAATTCTAGCAATTTGGATGCAAAATTAGGCAGAGTCATCGAGGCTACTGGAATCAAATACACAGATCCTCTGTGGGTTTGGAAAGGGTTCTTATGATAGCAGTGTCTGCTATTCCGGCATAAATAATGGAAGGAAGATTTCTAGATGGATCCGATCTGTTCAGGAATGTTGATTATCTGGCAGAAAATCCATTTCTGTAAATAAGCACTGATATATTTTAAAGATTTCTTGGGTAATTCTAACTTGCCCCCCCCCAACATTCTTTCTTAGTTGACAGAGAAAGACAGTGCAGGCAGGGTACCATCTGGGTTGGTTTGTGGTGAGGGAAGTACCCAGTGCACAGCCCCTTAGGAATCAGGTCACAGGCAGGAGATTTCCTATAGGTAATTAATTCCCCACTGGGCACCACACGGTCCCCAAGTCTGTGGTCATCGCACAGCAGGTCTAACGCTCTAAGGTTGTCCAGCACTGTGGGGCTTCTGCTAAATAAGAATCTCTTTGGCCACGTGTCCACACTCCACACAGAAGCACGCCCCACCCCCGTTTTTCACTGTTTTCTTTGAGCGCAAGGCCAGCTCTTGAAGTTGGCATTGGATTATTTACTCAGTGGTACTCCTAGCCATTTCTATTTACAGATCTTCTGGTGTCCTTTAAGCATTACTTTGTATTGATTGTACTTTGTGTCTGAAATATAAATTTAGAAAAGAATCAGACTTTCTGCTTTCTGTTCCGATTCCCTTTTGCCTTTTCTCCTGAGCAATGTCAAGACAGGAGCGCCCTGGCAGTGTGCACAGATGCCCTGTGGTTAGCCAAATGTCTGCAGTGGGTAAGGAGCAGCTATGTAATTAGTTTACCGCGCCTGCAGCTGACTGCTCCTGCCTTCCAAATGGGAGAGGGAGGGAGGGAGGAGCCGGTGCGCATGCCATTTTCCTGTCCACAGCTAAATGCAGCATCTGAGAGGGTCACAGCTACTCTTCAGAGACGCGCTTTTATGGTTTGATGGAATTCTGGCAGGGGAAGATGGCTTTCAGTATTTTAGAGGTGCTTTTCGAGCAAAACATTTGTTGTAAGCATTTGATGTTTTGAAATTATGACATAGAAATCTCCATCATATTCCAACAGACGTTCAAATCCAGATTCTCTCCTATATAAATTTTTCCTAAATACTTAGCATGCGGTCCCGCTAAAGTGCTAAGGCAAAGAATGTTTGGATTAATCTATAATGATAAGGGAGGCTTCTGGAGCAGTGGTTCAAAACTCCCCCCATTTGGATCACCTGGACAGTAAAAATTCTGAGCTTCTTTCTAGTATTCCTAATAGCAGTCGTGACAATTAGAGCAGAATAATTAATGTCCTGAGGGAGGGACCCAGGCTTCAGGAGTTTTGAGTTTGTTCAGGTTCCATCCAGTGCGCAGTCAACTTTGAGAAATGCAGATCTAGGGTAATTGAAAAAACCTTTCATGGAAAACATTCCATGTGATTTAAACATATTTAAGAAAACTCTCACACATACATGCACAAACACGCACACAATGTTGGATATATGATTTGAGTTATCAAAGGTATCATAGATAAGGAATGATCTGATTTGTACTTTGTGCTCAGTAGTGTAAGATCAACTGCACTTTCTGAAGAAAACCAAAAATTCCCACCCACTGTCTCTCCCCTGCTGTCTTTTTGAGTTGTGGACCCTGGCCCAAAGCTGCTGTTTCGCACTGTTGGCAAGAATGCTAACTTTGCTTTGTTTCTTGACTTACTCTACATTTTAGAGTTTTCCAGGCATGTGAGGTTTCTCTCTGGAACATACAGTCTTGGATTTTTGTCTTCTGTACTGGGAGAGAAACACCTGTGATACTCATTTCCCTCAGGATCATCACGAGGATACTCTATTTCTCTTTTGATACTCACTTTATACTTTTCCTATTTTGCTTTGTCATTTTGTTCACTCTTGTATATTCCATGTGTGTATGTATATGTACACACCCTAATGATTCTGTTGAATAATCATATCTGTGTGTGTGTGTGTGTGTGTGTGTGTGTGTGTGTGTATTCCCACAAAATTTGGGAACTCTTTAAAGGCAGGTCTGAATTCAGACTTTTTTTTTCTTTTTGGGTCACACCCGGTGATCAGGGGTTACTTCTGGCTTTGCACTCAGGAATTACTCCTGGCAGTGCACAGGGACCATATGGGATGCTGGGAATTGAACGTGGGTCACCCGAGTGCAATGCAGACACCCTACCAGCTGTGCTATTGCTCCATCCCAGTTTTGCATTTCCAAACAGAAAGAGGGAGAGACTCTGAATTTGCCCTCTTATCCTCATGTATGTCTGGGTGATGTTTCTCAGATAAGTGTTTTGGTTTTTTTTTTTTTTTAAAGGTCTCTAAGATCTTTCATTGGCAGGGTGATTTGAGCAGTTTTTCAAAAGAATGATTAGCAGAATTAAAACTTTGCTGTTCTTTGAATGGTTTTATTTTTCCCAAAGAAAGATTACATTATAAGGAATAGTCTTCCTGGGACATTTGCTGAATTGTTCTATACCAGGCCCCTGTTTTTTTGTTGTTTGATTTGTTTCTTTGTGTTTCTGTCTTAGGGTCAAACCTGATGGTACATAGGGACTCTTGTGCCTATTTTGTGCCAGGGGGAGTTTGTGGTGGGGGGCAGGGGGCTTATTTTTTTGTTTTACATGGTTTCCAAGATTCTATTTTCAGCAAGAGTGGAATAACAGTTTCACATCTGAGTATCAAACCTACAAAAACGTTATCTATGTGCTTGATAGATAATGTGCAAGTAGCCTAAACCTCTAAATAATGACAACTAACATTTTCTATCAGAAGAGGAAAATGAAGAAAGGTGAAATCAATAATTGCTAAATTCTTGTCAGAAAGCAATTTATAAATAATTTAAAAGGGGAAAATTTCTAAAATCTAGATAATCATTGTTGACATTTAATGAGCACTTACTACTTGCTATGCACATGGTACTTTATGAAATTCTCCATTTGCATAATTCCGTGAAGTAGTATTATTCTTTCCATTAGACAAAGGAGAAGATTGATGTGAAGAGGTTAAATGTGCCATCTCTAGCGTCTGTGTTGTTTTTATTTTGTTTTGGTTTTTAATCTTTTTTTGAATGAGTCTACTGAAGAAGGATATATGAGGGGATTGGAGCACTGTGCTTTAGTTTTTTTGTTTTGTTTTTATTGAATCACAGTGATATATACAGTTACAAAGTTGTTCATGATTGAATTTCAGTCATATAATGTTCCAACACCTGTCCCTTCACCCTTGTACTTTTCCCACCAGCAGTGGTCCCAATTTCCCTCCCGCCACCCCCCTCCCCACCTGTCACTATGTGGCAGGTTCTCTCTCTCTCTCTCTCTTTCTCTCTCTCTGTCTCCCTCTCCCTCTCCCTCTTCCTCTCCCTCTCCCTCTCCCTCTCCCTCTCCCTCTCCCTCTCCCTCTCCCTCTTCCTCTCCCTCTCCCTCTCCCTCTCCCCCCCCCCCCCCCCCCGCCCTTGGGCCTTATGGTTTACAATACAGATAATGAAAGTTTATCAGGTATATCCCTTTACCTACTTTCAACACTTACTTCCTGTACAAAATGATCATTTTCAACTATTATTTTCTTGTTGGTCCCTTCTCTATCTGAACTGTTCTTCGAGTCATTTTTTTTAAATCACTTTAAACCGTCATCACTTATATTAAAAAAAAAAAAAACCTGTGGCTCCTACTTAAAGTATAAGCACACAGTCTTGAAAACCTTTTTTCTGTTAAGAACTTCCCTCTCTTACATAACAAAGAATGTATTTTGTTTTTTAAAAAGAAGTTGTTTTGGTCCACTTTAGTAAGTTAATGTGAAAGTTATAGTAGACTTTGCTATAAGCAAGCAGACTTACCACTTGCCTGTTATTCAGCCACTTTAAACTTGGTTCAATCTCCATCACCGCATTTGATCTCCTGAGCATTGCCAGGGGTCACTTCTTACACAAAACCAAGAATAGCTCCTGAAAAGTACCAGGTATGGCCAGACTCTCCAACCACCCTCAATAACCACAAGAAAAAACCTTGAAGGGCTGGAGTACAGGCCGTTAATGCTATTGCCAGGTATTCTTCTAACCTTGATTAATCCCTGGCACCAAATATGGTCTCTCAACAATAAAAGTGATCCCTGAGCATTGCCATAGATGACTGCAAAACAAATAAAATAATAGTAAAATTTGGCTTTACAGTCCAAATAAAATTAGGTTTATTACAAGTTGCAACTTTGTATGTTCCAGATGTTCCCCCAGTTGACCATAGGAGTCTGATATTAAAAGAAGTATCTTTTACTATTTCAGATGGAGTTGGCTGTGGGTCCATTCTGTAGAAGAGTGTCTGATTTAGGAAAGTCCTATCGAATGCTGAGGGCATTCAGGTAAGACATTTGTATATTTTTGCTATTCATATATCCATGACCACTTGAAGGTAAGTCCCTTTATCCTATTCATGTTGAACATTAATGATCCTTCCAGATGGTTCTTCATAAAGTTCACTATTAAACCTAGAAACTTGGTTAGAACCATATGCATTGCAGTATGTGCATGTTGAAATTTGAGTTATAATTCACAACATTGAGATGATTGCTTTTAGCATGTTCTTTCTGGGAAGACTTTGCTCTCCAGAAATGATGAGAAGTTCAGAATTACTGATGCTTGGGCTGAGTGATGCAGAATTCTTGGGCTGGTATTGCAAGCGCCATCAGAGCTATACCCAGTGATGATCAGGAGACATCAATTCAAATGCTTTCATAAAGCTCATAGGTTATATTTCACAACAAACTGTATTGACTTTTGTTTTGTTTGTGGGCCACACCCAGTGGTGCCCAGGGCTTACAGCTGGCTCTCTGCATAGGAATTACTCCATGGGGTGCTCAGCGAACCATGTGTGGTGCCAGGTACTGAACTCGGATTGGTTGTGTGCAAGTCTAGCACTTATACCTGGTGTACTATCGCTGCAACCCTTGGACAGGGCACCGGAAAGGAGGGAGAGTAGGAAGGAAGGAACTTGTGAAACACTAAGCTCATACCTCTGACCTAAGAGCATACCAACTTTTAGAGAAAATTCTTGCTGAATGCGTGCATAGGCTTTTTACCAACTGATACTTGAAGAAACATTTAACGGTGTAAATTTTTTTTCAACAGCAGTTACAAATATGTTGTCCGTTCAGTAAACCACAGCCTCCCAAACTCTGATTGTGGTTCACTTAGAAATGTGTACATTCAAAACAGTGGCCAGTTCCCAAGGGCTGTGTGGTGAACCTAGTACTTACAATCACTTTGTAACACAGTATACCAGATGGGAAGTATTAGTGTGTGCAATCTATGATATTCTAGAGTACAATGGCCTTTCAGTGTACTTCTGTCACGATAAAGAGTTCAAGCACGTGTTCTTCTGAACACTGACTCAGTACCAGAAACAAGAGTAATCAATAAGTACTATGCCCTTTACGCCACCTCTCTCTCTTATGTCATCCAAGCTTTGGGTAGTAAAATATTCAGGTATAATGTCACTTGAAATGTAAGACTCAAAGGTTGTCAATTGAAAGGGGAACCCAGTTTTACCTTGACTATTTATAACTTGCGAAATTTTATTTATTTATTTATTTTGTTTTGGGTCATGCCCAGCGATGCTCAGGGGTTACTCCTGGCTCTGCACTCAGAAATTACTCCTAGTGGTGCTTGGGGGACCATATGGGACTCAGGGAATCAAACCCAGTTTGACTGTATGTAAGGCAAGTGGCCTACCCGATGTAGTATCTCTCCATCCACTAAAAAAGTTTTTAAAGTGCTGCACAGAACCTGAATTCTTTTTCTCAAGTGCCCTCAGTACAGTGTAAGAGTGGGTTTCAGAAAAACTGTAGATTTTTTTTTTTTCAGTTAAAAAAATGGAGAGCCCGGCAAGCTCGGAGAGCCCGGCAAGCTCGGAGAGCCCGGCAAGCTGCCGAGAGTATTCGATATGCCAGACACAGTAACAACAAAGTCTCCAATGGAGACATTACTGGGCCCGCTCGAGCAAATCGACGATCAACGGGAGGGCCTTTACCTTTACCTTTTTAAAAAAAGGGGTGGGGATCACAGGTATTCTCAAATATCTTCTTTGGATCAGTGAAAACTTTCTTGTAGAGTTGGGATTCAGAGCCTTACACATGCAAGGTATGCAGCCTACCGCTGACCCACATCCTCCAGCCTTCCAGCCTTTCAAAAAGTATTTGAATCTTTTATTGAAGCCTTAGGATTTGTCACTGCCAAACACAGATGAGTGGAAAGATTTAAAAGTCCTGAATTACTGTCTACCAGTCGTTTATTTGTACTGTAATAATAACCTTAATAAAACTTCTGTTTTCTTCCTTTGAGTAAGATGGGAACAAAACACTTCCCGTTGGAAGCGTTGCCTTAGGAACGGAATCAGCTCTTCTATTGAAAACATTCAGCAGGTAGTCATTGGGGAAAGCATGGCTATGATACAGATTTTAGTTTTATTAGATCAAATAAAATGAGGGCCTGGTGTGGCCTGGGGTTCAGCTCTAGCCCTCTACGGGCCTGGTGTAGAGGCTTTTTCATGTCATCATTTAAGGGGGGTGTCAGTGCATGCCATCGTTCCTGCCCTTGAGCAGTTGCAAAGTCCCTCACTCTGCAGTTTCTGTATAGTTGCCACATGAAGACCAGGAACTAACTTCCTTCCTTCCTTCCTTCCTTCCTTCCTTCCTTCCTTCCTTCTTTCCTCCCTCCTTCCCTCCCTCCCTCCCCCCCCTCTCTCTTTCTTTCTTTCTGATGTGGGAATTTGTACCACACACACCAGGCCATCTCAGGGCTTCTCTTGGTTCTGTGCTCAGGGATCACTCATGACAGTGCTCAGGGGACGATGTGCAGTGCCAGGGATCAATCAAATCAGGGTCAGGTGCACAAAAGAAAAAATGCCTTATCCGTTGTCCTATCTCTCTGGCCCTCAGAGTAGCTTTTGGTCTCAACAATCCAATTCTAGGCTTTCTGTTTGACAGCCTGCAAAGGCTTGTTGGAGAACTTCCCCAGAATTAGTCCTGAGCAGTTATAGTGAAAGGACCTATTCTTGTTATTCTCCCCATCTGTACTGTGAGCCGACACAGGAGCACACATCCTCTATTGCACGTAAATATGACCTTGGGTCTTACTCATGGGGCTTCTCCCAGAAAGGTTCAGAATCACACCCAAACTAGCTGAATGACAGCCAGTAAGAGATGCCACATTCACAGGATCAAGTCTATGCAAATCACTTTAACATATATTAGAATGTATGTCTAAAGGGCATATATAGGATCTCTGTTGATTTTTTTTTTTGGGGGGGGGGGAGGGTGGGTTTTTCCACACTGGATGTGCTCAGGGCTTACTCCTGGCTCTATACTCGGGTCACTCCTGGCAGGGTTGGGGGGAACCAGTTGGGGTGCCAGGGAGTGAACCCAGGTTGGTTGTGTGCAAGGCAAGTGCCTTACCCTTTTGTACTGTCTCTCCCTCTCCATACTGATTTTTAAATAATAATGGACATGAACAAAGAAAGAAAGCCAAGGATAGATAGACCTCAGAAGGTTATCTTTGGAAAGTGGCATTGTCACTGGTGATTTTTCCTTTAATCATTTTCAGAATTTATGTTTTTCAATGTTTCTGTCTTTGTTTTATATCTGTGGTCATAAAAGTCATGAATAGGAGCTGGAGCAATAGTACAGCAGGTAGGGCTTTTGCCTTGCATGTGGCCAACCCAAGTTTGATCCCCGGCATCTCATATGGTCTGCCCAGCATGTCCAGGAGTAATTCCTCAGAGCAGAGCCAAGGGCAACCCCTGAACATTTGCTGGGTGTGACCCCAAAAGCAAAATAAATAATTACATAAAATAATATTTTTTAAAGTCATGAAAATATTTCAAAAATGCCCTTGCATTGCTTTTCCCATTGGAAAATAATGGAGGGCTGTGGAGGTAACTCAGGGGATGAGGGGCGTGCCTTGCATGAAGAAGGACCCAGTCTGAATCCCCAGCATTGCCTGGCCCTCCATTACCATCAGGCATAGGCCTGGAGTCACTCGGCACTGCTGGGCCTGAGCAGCACTGTGTCACTGGGCCTTGGGCCTCAGTGCTGAGGGTTTGATGCTTGCCTGGAGTGGTCCCAAGTCCCCTGAGGATGGCTCGGTAGCCTCCCCCCCCCCCCCCCCCCGCCAAATAAAATTTTCATTTTTATAAAACAAAAACAAAAGCATCGAAGAGGACGAAGAACCTCCGGGTCCAGGCACATCTCTTGGATTCCACTGTTTTCCTGCATTAACATAAGCCTCAGAGACCTGGGCCCTATGCAAACAGGATGAGAACTGAGAACACTATTCGGGTCTCCCAAAGAGGAATTGAAAGAGCTATGCTTGGAGTATCACGTTTCACTCAAATGAGAGAAAGAATCCGGAGTTCCGACCTCCATCAACGCTCAAGAATCAGGGATGCTGTCTCGTTTACCAAGGCATCGAAAATCAGATGGGCTGGACACGTAATGAGATTTGGAGATGACTGCTGGACTAGAGCCATTACCGACTGGATTCCACGGGACGTCAAAAGACTTGTGGCCACCCACCTACTAGATGATCAGACTTCTTCATCAAGATCCTGAACCATCAGTTTGAGGCTCTTCGTGTCCCTAGAAGGAACAGACGCTATTGGACTACACTAGCACGTGACAGGGACAAATGGAGATGTTACTGGCGCCCACTTGAGCAAATTGATGATTAATGGGAAGTCAAGTGATAAAGCAATAAAATAAAATAAGTCAATAAAATAAAACTTCCAAGGGAGTTCAGTGGCACTGGGGGCAGCAGGTGTGTAAGAGACGCAGGTGACCAAATCCTCAAGCCCAGTAGGTAGGGTTGCCTCCGTGGCTGCAGGGTGACAGAGAACTACCTGGTGAACTCCTCTCTCCCACAGCACCCGCCCCCCACTCCCATGCCCCCCCCAACCCTGGCACGCATGTGTGCACAGAACTCTACCACCCTGAATTTGCCACAGGCGCTCCTTGACAGTGATGTTAGCAGACGGCACTTGGTCCAGTGAGCCGCTAGCATTCGTTTACATTCTCCTGTCTCCAGGCGAGCTGTCAGGAAGCGAGAATCTTCCTACCCAGGGCAGAATGCTTCCTCGGAGGAGGAATTCATCGCACAGGTGCCCACGTGTGTCCATGTGCGTTGGAGCTGCTCGACACCACCCCCCCCCCCCCAAGTCCGTCCAGTGCAACGTGGTCTGTGTCCTGAGTGGTCTTTGTCTGGATGGTGCCTTCACACACACCCCAGTTAGGCCCAGGGGCTCTGCCTCTTAACATTCCCAAGGCAGATATCACGGGGCACCAGACAGAGGAGGAACTTGGTGCCATTT